CGCTGACACCAACCCACACGAGCTATGGTTCTGAGACAACGATTGTCGAACACCTGAAGACGTCTCAGGTCCGCTGCTCGAATAGGCCAAGTCTCACAGCCGTACAACAAAACAGCCCGTACTGTAGCTTGATACACACGTCCCTTTAGATTAAGTGACCTTACACTTTGTGGGTGCAAAGTGCATACCAAAGGTCAGTTCATCCAAAAACACCTTCGTCTTCTCCTCTTTGAAGATGAGAACGATGTCGTCTGCGTACTCCAAATCGACAAGTTTTTCTCCACAGGCTATTTGAACACCGGGGTTCCGGAGACCCTCTAGCGTTCGTGTCATTATTTCTTCGACCACGCAGTTAAAAAGGAACAGAGATAGTGGGCATCCCTGACGGACATCGGTTTGTGTACGGAAGCTTTCGGAGAGCTCTCCGACACTCTGACNGCGGAAGCTTTCGGAGAGCTCTCCGTACACTCTCATACGTCCGGAAGTCTGAGAATACAAATAATGTATTATGTTTACAAACTTCCGGGGCATTCCTCTGCGGGGAAGCGTCATTAGGAGAACAGACCGATCAACCGAATCGAATGCGCCTCGGAAATCTAGGAATATTAGAATTGTGGGTCACTTATACGAGAGCTGGTGCTTGTCCTAAGATGACTGAACTTGTTTATTTGTCAACAGAATGTCGCTCATTGTGAATCTCTCATAGTTTTATTTTATTTTGTTTCTTTTTTGTTCCTCAAGAATCCGAATGGAAGAAATTCAGCCCATGGCCACAACAAGCAGTGATGCAATCAAATTGGAAGCAAAGGCTATCGATTTGGAATTGACCAACCGCGTTTCCCAAGCTCCACTAGACCCGTGTATACCAACTCGAATTCCAACTGACAGTGCGGTTGGTAGTCAGGGGAAATCCGCAATCGCTCCGACAAGACCGTCCAATTTGAAGTTACAATCGAACACTCATTCGGCCGACCAGTCTGCTCCACCTAACACCCACTGTATGTGCATTGATTTGTTTATTCCTGATATCCAACCTAAAATCCATCCCGAAATCCAACCGGTTGGTTTATTCAGACAGACTGGATAAGTTGCACGCTCTCACACATGGTAACAAACTCACTTGGACCGGGGTACTGCTCGGAGGCGGTTGAACAACTTACAATTGTTTCACCCTGATTAACGTACATCATGGACACATCGGCTGCCATCTTTGCATTCATTTAGTTTTCGGAACGATATCTAGATACTCGGTGATACATTAAGCATCAGCTACTCATGCCTTTCTGCTGATTTTTTGGTGACTTATTTCGGTTAGGGAATGATGTACCAAAGGTTCACCGGTTCATCTATATGGGCTAGTTCTGTGGGCGAAGTCTGATGATGTGATAGACACCTCCGGCTGCATGAATGGTTCGTGTCTGGTATGCCATCCCGATGGCAAGGTCCAAGGATGCAGCATTTTCCAATGAGACCGAGTTAGCAGTTTCCATACCAATCACTTTTAGGTTGTCCATGCCGTATCCTAGTCTGGAACAAAGCCTTAGCTGTAGGGGGTACTCTGGCGCGTGGAATACTTTGTTCAGCTAATCTGACAGGTGATTTTCAAATCGAATATCGTCGATCCGTTGTTCTCATCAGCGATGGTTTGCTCAGTAACTACTGAAAAACTTCCTTTTTAGTAATCGCAGTTATTAGGCTGGTATCTTTTCATGGGTCTGATCCACTTCACACTGAACCAAAGCCACTAGTTTTGAGTATGAAGCATTCATAGTGAGAAGCGCTTTCATCTTTAGTCCCAGCCAACTGGTTGCTTGTGTTATACATGACTGAACTTCTCAGTTTAATTTCATTTCGATTATTGGCTAATCCTCTTTCCGGTTTTATCATGGTCAACCTACAACTAATCTCTGCATTTTACAGGTTCTAGGGAGTCACTCTTTCTGTACGCCACTGTTGGGAGTGTATGTGCAGAACTTGGATATCTGGAACAAGTAAGCTCTTTTGTCCGCCTTTTTTCCATTTGTATGTCTGATCCAGATTCGATGACTTCCACGTGACTATTTCGTCGTCTTCTCTCAACTCCCCACAGGACGTGTTCTACAACGAGCGATCTCCGGAATCCCGAACAGTGGCCTTCTTCAAAACGAACATTGCGCTGCGTTCTCTGCTGGCGGATGAGAAACCTTCAGCGCTCACAGCAAGTAACGTAGCGGATGTGCAATCCTTGTTGCATGGTGGCGAGTACGATGCTTTCCTCATTTCTCTGAACCGTCCAATTTTATGGATCAAGCCATTCAGCGTTGACCGCGGTGAGTAGACTTTTTATTGGTTAAGCGAACTGCATTTATTTATGTGCGCATGCGATAGAGCTGTTTCGCTGTCTGTCGGTCTGTGATATTCGCTTACACTTTGGATTTGTTGGGACTGGATGAAACGTTTCGTCACCATACAAGGCGACATCATCAGTGCGCAGTTGGACAGCCAACAGCCATCTGATCAACAACCAATAAATAAACTGACCCGAGTAACCAATATTTCAGCGCGTTAATTGTGATATCCCATCTTCGTGTGTTCGTCAAAACCCATTTCCATCGTGAGCATGTCTGTCACAAAAATCCAGGATATGACATCGGCTCCTCGTAGAAAACTAGCGGACGGGCGGAAGAGCCGTCAACACTGTGCAAACTTATGGTTTTTCATGATATTGTCCAAGCAGATGCGCATACAACGGGTCATTTCTCAATGAGACTCAGAATATAACCCATAGAGTAGTAAAATACGGGATGATCACGGTCAATGAGCGTTTGACTCGGGTGTTTTAGTCTTCGAATCAGAAAAGCCAGAATCAAAGCGCCCTTTGTCTGCCAATATCCTTTCACGTGCATTGTGAAACACACATTTCCGTCGCTAACTGCGGGCCATTGTGCATTAGAGCCCGTTGGTTTGCACTGTTTCCGTTCCGTGTTTCAGTTTTTTGGTTGTTCCTTCCACGTGTTTGTGAAATGTAAGAATCAGTGTTTAATCCTCTCCAAGCCTGTTAATACGGCCTGTTCTGGATAGCTTATGCCTAATCCAGGACCTCTTTCTAGGTCACGTATGCGTTGTCTTCTCAAGCGAGGCGAGATGGACCAAGTGGTTAGAGCGCGAATTTACTGACCGGAAGGTCTGTGGTTCTAACCCGGCTTCCGCCTCTCGACTTCCCCTGTCTAGGCTTGGGCAACCTGACAGAATCCCAGCCCTCGTGCCTCCTTCATGTGGCATGGCAGTTGGGCACCGAATGGGTGCTACAGCTGAACGATTATTATTATTATTATTATTATTATTATTATTATTATTGCTATCTCAAGCTGTCACGATCCACTCCCTTCAGCATGCTTTCAGCATTGTCAGCACCGCATCGACCACCGCTGTAAAAGATAACCTCGCGGGGTTCTTTACGATGTCCTGTACACCGGATCTTTGATATGAATAAGCTAGAAATATAATTGACCTCGGTCTTTTGCACTGATTGCACATGGTGGGTAGGCAATCTTATGCTTCGCAATTCCCAACACCGCTCCTAATTTTCTCCCGTGCAATTAAACAGACTGAAAAATAAGTGCGTAGCTAAGGCATGTGCAACGTGCGTAAAAAACTGGTAACTGACTTGGACAACTGTTCTGATTTACACACGAATCTGGTTTTGACTCAGCTGCATCCAGCTGATGGTTTATGGTGGTGCGCCCCAAGAGGGGTGAAATCGGTTGTAGACTAAGAGGTTTCAGTAACCTCAGGATTAGCGTGTTAAGGGTAACTAACTTCTTTGTTGTCGTTTTCAACGAGTTTTTAGGAATGTGTCCGTCTAGTTGTTACGATTTCTGACGGTTATCAGAAATTGTGTTCCTTTGGTTTGACTCATAATCTCTATTTCTATACTCCTTTGTATAGCACTTCTAATATGGATGGTTTACAAGAAAGAGCTGGCCAAATGGAAAGGCCACATCGATTATCTGTCGTCTATGGTGAGTTGAAGTCACGCTATTCTCTCAGTTCTTTACTGTTTAAAGAGAGTTGCAATGTTGACATTTTACTGGACAGTGTGGATTCGGTTGACTTCATGCGACCTAACTGTGAATCGATTTGTGGTGTTAATTGTTGGTCCTTAGGGTCGAATGCTTGTGCACTTCATTGTGATTGATAAACTTGCCCATTTTTGTCACTAGTTTGTCATTCGATATTTTACTCTAACCTGTAAAGGAGCGAGATACCTTCATTCTGACTGTTGGGCCTTGGAACACATATACCCTCATTTTCTCGGCATCTTCTGCATGTGTGGGTTAATGTAGACTCCTGAGAAGTTTCATTTCATCTTATTCATCATTTTATTCGAATACCTCTGTGGAGGGACGTGTGACCTTGAGTCACCAGTGAGATGGGGTGTGTAGGCGGGGAACAGTGATAGATGACCTGTCTTTTTCCGATAAGATTGTTTCACCACACCGACGTCCTACTTCAACTGGCTAACTGCATTCGGATCCAGAAAAACGCCAATCTCATTTTAACTTTCTATCTAGGCGCCTGTTGATCCATCAACTGTGTCACAGCGTCCCGGCAAACTTTCACCAACTGGCATCAGATCTCCGGGCAAACCTGTGTCTTCCACCTTGGATTCGATCCCAGCCACCCCACCTCGTATTGATGAGTCGGTTTTCGGTGTGGACGCAGAGTCTCCACCCACACCGAATCCTGTAGATCCCAGCCCGGGCACAAGTTCTTCCAAGGTCACACCTGACAATGTACAGTCTTCGACTCTATTTCTCCAGTTGAATGTCACCGATCTTGGACTTTGTTTGCCCATCAGTATTCTGCAAGTAAGTTCCAAGCAAATATTTTTTCTTATTTCTTGTCGAATTTGTTGTTACATCCTTTTCATCATCCAACAGTATTCCAACTCGTCAGAATGGACGACGCTTTGATCTATTTAGTTTGTTTTGTTCAGACACCCCCTTTACTGTAATCTTTGTTTTAGTTATATGTAAGAATATCCTTAGTCGTTGTTTGGCACTTTGCTGTAACGTGCCTGGGCAACCAGGACAGAAGAAATGTTCATTTTAGTTCATCGATTAGCTGACGATATCATCAGGTGTAAGAACCGCGAACCTGCTGTACAGCAGTTCTAGCTGCCACAATTTCGTTCACCGATGATTTGGGGAGATGCCGTACGTAGCTGTGCATTCCAGGCGGTAGCTAATATAATTTACGTGTAAATACAGTGAACTTTTAATTAGGGAGATTGGGGGGGACAGCTATGCATCGAAGGCAATAACTTGGAAATGAGCGCCATTGGGGGTGTCTGTGCTGTCTCTGACAATATCTCCAAATAAATTGATGTGTCCCGTTAAAATCTCCTATATAGAAAGGATCTCGTGGATTTAGAAGGATGTTGTTTCGTTTATTGTTAGTAAGCAGCGAGGAGCATAGGGTCCTTCGGTCCGATAACTGACAGTCAAGTTATCCAGTGACATTTACTTGTGTGGTGCGAAGGGGTTGGGAAGGGACATCGGTGGACACAGAACTGTGCCGGCAAATGATACTTTCCGGTTGTCCAGGCCGAGGAAAGGATTTACTTGACGTACTCCACCTTGAGCCTGTGACTCAATTGTCTGATCCACGAGGCAGCGGGCAGTAAGGTTTTCTTTGGAAACCCTTCCCGTAACCGATGACTCAATAGTTTGACCTGCAGGATGTTGGCCTAACCCGAGAGCGCAGGAAGTCAGGTATTACTATATCACCCCTCATGAGGCTGTCCGCATCAAGCGCCTTTGGAGCAGCACTGGACTGTTTGGTTTCAGACGTATTTGGAGTGTATGGAATAATGCACTGGCGGTTACGGTCAACCGTTGGGCGATCGGAGTGTGCGGTTTTTAGGGTTGATCTTTTCTAACCGATCCTTCTTCCGGGGAAGACAAAATTGCTGCTTCCATGAATATGGACATGTTCGCCGGGGGAAACACCTTACTGCCTTCACTTTCCCGTCGACTTTACCCCCAGACCGCCTCAATTCGTAGCACGTAGTCTTGCTGCTCTTGGTTTGAAGGCTCCCCTTTGGCCTTTCTGGCATGGTTGCACACTGTGGAACGAACGTCCATCCGGTGTAGCTCGCGGGATCATTGTGCACTCAAGCCCCACACCATCACGTCCAGGTGGCAGCTTTAGGTCGGGAACGTAGTCTCATCCCGTCCCTTAGCGGTGGGAAAAACGACTGCGGTTAGTCCCAGTTAGGTCCATGTCTCAGTCAGCCTTTGTAGAATTCATCTGGCTCAGATGAAGGAATTTCTTGGTAGAATTTATTCTAAAAGGTGGCGAGCCCCTCCACCCTCGAAGCAAAGTTCGATATGTCGATATGTATAGACCAATGTTGTTTTTTTATCTCTTACCAGTTTCGTTGCAACACTGAACTGTTTGATCTTTCTTGTTGACAGTCGAATGTACCGTCCATGGAAGTGGGTTCTCGAACCGCCTTAGTTCTCACCTTGGATCAAAGCCGTATCTCGGCCTGCTATCGCGATTCCCTGGTCAGTCAAGGCAAATTCACCGGTTAGTACTTTCAGGTATTTCTTAACGCCCTTTTGTAGATTTTTGTCTCCGGTTTGACGATGACTTCAACGTTTGGTCGGACGAATGGAAGCCGGATTGGAAGCGAGCCAGTATCAATGTACGGGGGAAGCAGCATACTCTAATTTTGAATGCCTGTGTTGTTCCAAGCGGGACTTTCAATGTCTGTTGGCGTGATCTGGGTAAGTGTATCTGAGTGACCAGTCAACCTCTCCAGAGCCACAGATAAAGCCGATTGGCTGGAGCGTCTATTACAGCTTCTTATTGACGCTTTCCTCCACTCCTAACCATAGCTAGCGAAAACCGGCGCTGGGTGAGCCACAATATGGCAATGGCAAGCTGTGTGAACTAACGACTAGGTGCTTCATGCTGTACCGTGATGGATCTTCTTCACAATGTCTCACATAACTACCTAACGAAAATCCTCTGTCCTTACCTGTACTGCTCATCCGAAATTGGTTTATAGCAGTTTACTGGGCGAGTTTAATCAAGATACTGGGCCAGTCCCGTTGTTGGCCTCTTAATCCTCCATGATTCAGAATTGTGTGCAGGCTCTTTGTCCTTGACCTCTTCTTCCCCCTCCCCGCTTTCTGTTCACTCTGTACCAAGGCGTTCCCCGTGATTAGCGCTACCGTTGCTGTTCTCCAACCCCTTTTAAATAGGATAATGGAGATACTGATCGTATTCTTATATATTCTTCCGCTAGCTCTCCCCGAACCCTTATTGTGGATCTGCCATCTATCGTGACAGTCCTTGTGTATTTTCTTAGAGATGATGTCGGTAGTTTGGACGGAGTTCTCAGTCTTCTAGGGTGAAACAACGAATGCGATTTTTTTTTCATGGCACCATAAAGGTGACGAGGCTACGGTTCATTTTGGCCCCAAGTTAAAAAGCTTCACCTGCCGCACCATCCTAGTACTACTCTTCACATGTACTCAAGATTTTGGGTCTTTCGCACGATTCCGTTAATGTTTTTTACCCTCATGGCTCAAGGCAACTTGTCAAGTTGAAGCCGGAAATTTGGTGGGTTAGCCTTTACGGGAACGCTGCATATCTATACCGGCACTTATACACAGTCGTGGCGTATATTCAAATATAGGTTAGTGCCTCCGATTGGCATCAGATCTCCTGTACATGACATCCTCAAACCCAGTCCACCTTTGAACCTTGTCCGAGCTATTCGCCTCAATGGTATCATTTGCATCACATTCACATAAGGTGATTGATCCTTTTCAGAGCGACGTGCTCAATGGCATCTGCTCATCTGTTGGCAAATGCGTGGTCTGGACTTTCACTTGGATGATAATGTCGGGCGCAGGTTGAAAGCGCTCTTCTCCATACTCACACGAATAACGGGCTACGACGGAGCTGCACCACTCCTACCGACTTCAGCAGAGGAGGAAGAAGAGGATGTCATCGTGGATTCAAGTGTTCACCGGGAGCCGGCCGGTTCAATCGGAGCTGACAAGCCGTCGATGCACGATGGCTCTGTAGGCACGCTAGGCAAGGATGCTGATGTGGTTACAGGCTCCGACCGAACGCAACGCACTCTGGGTGCTTATTCAGATATTGCTTCCTTGGATCGGTACCGTCCAGACTCATTGTAAGCTTTTTTCTCTTTCACGTGTTCCTTCGTCAAAAGCCTTGTTCTGACGGTGGCGAGAGACTTAGACTGGTTCATATGTATCACGCTCGTCCGACAAATGTCAACATAATCACAATTCGTTGACCTGTTTTTTCGACTTTTCACTTTGCTTGAACAATCAGGAACTCAGTTACATTTTGTGGATTCTATTCAAGCCGTCACAACACATAAGGTTCATATTACCCTGAGCCCACTACGAACAAAGTACAACTTGAACTGCTTCTCTCTCCCAGCTTATCGGTGACTTTCATGCGAAGACAATTACCATATTCTGTCGATTGTATCCAAAGCCCTCCTGAATAGCGGCTAACATTGCTTTCTTTGTTTCATTAACCTACGTTTGGAACCTGTTTTCGGGCTAGCAAGTTCTCTATGAGGTGACGTATCCAGATTTTATCCCACCTCCCCCTCCAGGAAAATAAAGCTTAAGACATGAAGCTTAGTTGGTAACCTCAAGAGCGCAAGAAAGTCGAGTTGATCTTTCGGTCGAAGTGACTGATGACGTGAACTGCGCTCCGAAATGTTTATGATTCTAAGCTGTTCCTGTTCTTGACTTGTTGAGCAACCGTGCAGCATCGTATCATTCTGCTTTCCACGAGTTGCGTGATGGCCATGTAGCAAATGAGACCCGCAAATGAATTAATCAACCTGCTTTTGATATGTTTGAGTCATACTACTATGTAGGTTGATTCTTATCTCTACCGTTGATTAGCCGAACGGAATATGCCAATTCCGACCCCCGATTTCCCGATTTGTCGCAAGTTCGGAGCATGGAGTTCCACAAACATCAACAGGAGTTGCTTGAGGCTCAATACTGTCAGGCCTTCAAACGACAAAAATGGAATACATTGCGTCGGAAGAAGGTCTCATCTGGAGTAAGTGTTCACAGCGATTTTCTTCCACTCGATTTCTCAACTTCGTTACTGTTAGCAAACTCACAGAAAACCAAGCATTTTTTCATGAACAGTTTATCACCTTCCATCTGGTTCTGTCAGCAAATTTTTTCGCCGAAAACTTGCATTAGAGCACAACTAAACTGTCTTTCATTAGACGTAAAACACTACTCACAAGGTTGCTGAAAACTCTTCGACAGCCCACGACCGGTTACGCCCTTCTTGGGGCTCATCAAGTAGGCACAGTCCCCGAGTTTCCATTAACCTTTCATTAAAATTTAGTGAAAGATGGTATACTAAGCAATGCTTCCAACACTAATTGATCATCATCATCATCGTCCACAGGCTTCGCACGTCAACTGTCCTGCGCTCTAAGTCGCCCTGGCTACCCAACAAGCAAGCGATCACCTGGCCTTGAAAATTTCATTGGATGGATTATCCAATGATATGCATCTGTCCGATATGATAGCTCTATCCACCTTTTTACTTTTTATCATTCAGTTCAATGTCTGATCAACCGGTAAGGGTATGATTTCGGTGCATATTAATATCGTATGTTTCGTCTGTGTTTGACTTCCATTGGTTGGCTCACTGCGACTGTCTTTCCTCAAAGAGTTTTTCAATTTTTCGAGCCTGAAATTCTGAGAATCGCTGTCCAATCGACTCTGTGTATTCTAACTTGTATGGGACGGTTGTCTTTCTCTTGTTCCAACGGATACTCTGTCGATGATTCTTCATCTTTGATCCGGTTGTTTACAGCGTTCTTCCCCCGGTTGATCATTTTAGTTGGTTTGATCTAACTGAGCACGATCACTTCTGTTTATCTTACTTTTGTGTAACTGAGTGTTGAATTTCCATCCAGCCTTGGTATCCTACAAAGTCTCACTAACTCTTCACTGGTTATGGTTCTGTCTCTCAACTACTTACTCGTATTCCTTGAATGGTTGCACTGGATGAAGGAATGCGTGTGATTCTGACAGTCGAGCATCACATTTCTTCGTTCGGTGTTTGTTGATCATTTGCAGCAACCGCGAAGCCCGTTATTCGCACAGCCTTCTGCCCCCACCTCTGTCGGTTCTGGAGCCGCTCCACTTCCGAATGGTGGGTCGCAAACAAACACTTTCTTCACGGGTGATTCCGACCTTCGATCTGATGTGGTTGGCTTTTCCTCCCCCAATGTGAATCGTGGATCGGTGGTATCCCGAGATGAATCTGTGTATTTCGATGCAGACACAGACGAAGGAGTCGAGTCCACATCTGTGACACACACAGATCAGCCTTCTGTATACGAAACAGTGACCGGAGAATTGAGCCACGCATCTAGTGGGGCTAATAACCTGCCACCTGATAAAGCACCCGGTGAGTGTGATTATGCTGTGTGAGCTGACTACACCGTCGCCGTCGATATTCACACAGTCATTTTTGTGTATCCTATCGGTCATAGCTTTCCTTCAAGCCTCGAATTGTTCCTTGTTGCTTCCTGCTTTGACACTATTCGGTTCCCATTCCTGTGCTACTTTTAGACCTCTGGTTTGATCCCATGGACACTGCTGGCACGACGGATAGCGTGATTTTTCCAACCATTTTCGATGCGGAGGATTTTGTGACCGGTGAAGAACAGGCGGATTACGACTCACCCAGTTCCGATGAGGCTGAAGAAACAATCCAACAGTTAGCTGATGCGGACCGGACAATGTCACCCAATCAGGCCCCTCCACCTCCACCTCGCATGAGGTTTCCAGGACCCCCGGCTCCGTCACACATCGATAGAAACTGGGCTTTTCGTAGAGACACTGATTTGCCACCCAAGGTTCTACTTAAAGTCGATGTGCAAATCCACATTGATTCTGGCTGTTGTGTGCTGCATCCCCGACTCCCACAGGACAGTTTGAACAAACTGGACGAAGGATTTCGCTGTGCAGAAGCCCTTAACTTATCTCCTCATGAAACCAGCTTCCAAACACCCGATACTTCTACTTCTCGGCAGCCGGCGGCGTTCGCAGGCCGGTCACTTGGATTTTCGAATAATGGCCTACTGTCTCATTATCTTGAACGATATAAGCGCCATTTGTTACAGGATCAGCACTACTTATCGTCGGATCTGATCATCCTCTTCTTACCTGCTCTGGACGTCAAGGTGAGTCAGTTGTCTTCAAACACTGCTTCCTACTCCTTGTGGAATACACAGGCAACACTGAAGCTGTCGAAATCCATCTGTATGGTGCACTACTGTGGTGGACTCCTATGCTAGTTTTGATGTGGCTTTGTGAGCAGTTGTGTTATCGATTTGTCGATATTTTTACTTCGATATAAAACAAATAAGCTTACCCACTGGCCAAAGGTTTTTCTCCTGTTGGCTAAGCTGAGTTTGGTCTGTAAATTTTTCATCATCGTGGGACTGGGCAGAGTCATTACTTACGACTCCATCAGTCTATGTGGTATTTCTTTAACGAGACTCGTGTTTTCCATATGTATATCTCTTTTCATGTGGCGCTTACCTCACGGATACGCCTTCCTCGTGACAGTGAACTCAGCGTTGTCTTCATCGTCTGCACCTATCTCGCTTGAATTAGGATGCTCTCTATTGCCTTCAGAACTTGGGAGGTACCTCTTTCACACTTCCACAACACGAATTGCGGTGGGGCCACTTTCTTACGCATTAAGTGCCCCTATACTACGCTGCCAGCTCCGCCATTCTTTTGCGTTCGCACAACCAGTTAAATGCAAAGCTATCTCACAAATCTCAAGTTTCAAAGGTGGTCCCATCGTTCGCCTTGTCCGTCAAATCTTTCCTCGAACTTCGGTCATTGTGCAGGAGTTTCGGCCTGTCAACTTTCATTAGCGTTAGTCTGTGTATCTCAGTCTGATGGGCACTCTAGACCAGCAGGCGCAGAGAGCTACAATGAAGCAACCTCCCCTTAATGGCAGGGTACACATCATTCTGTCGTCTACACATGTCGCCTTGTCGGTGAACTTATACTCACTGAGGCACTCCGATTAGTTGAATTCGGACGGATTATCATTCAGCTAAACTTCGTACTTATTTTTCAATTTCGTTAGACTTCGATTATATGTGTGCCTGATTCTTTTCCTAGACTTATCTTCTGCATTCCCCCACCATCTGGAGTTCCACAATAGCACTCGTTTTACAGTCCCTGTTACATTCCGTTTCCCTCAGCTACACTACAATTCGATGACTGAAGTGGATCTATTATCAGCAGCGCCCTCGACTTCACTGCGCCCATCGGGACGGTATCTGACGAGTCCCGCTCAACCGACTCCAAGCATTAGTAGGCAAGCAAGCACTCACGAAAACCTATATCGTCGATCGACAGAAAAAGCGCGGGCCATTGCAACTGAGAGCGACTCGGGAATTCTCACTTCCCATGCAGATACAGTGGACTCTGGCTTGGTTAAGTCCAGTGGTACCGGAACCAGTGGATTAAAGAAACAAGCCGATTTGTACGTATCCTGTTTCCTGCAAAAGCTGCCTAACGTAAGTCCGTTGTCTCCGCAGCTGACAGAATTTCCAATCACAATGGACTGTGTGAATATAACCGCTTTTGCTGACCAGCAGCAATCAGCATTAAGACAATTGTCTTGGATCCATTGGAGCGAGTTCTGCTGCTCTGTTTACTCTTATATTGACTTGAGGATACCATACTGAAATCACGCGTTCACAACACATCAATGTATTCTCTTTTCCCGTAGGAGTTGATTCTCCATCCAGCCCTGTTGGACTTTTTGGAACAAGCTTTAGAGAACATACCGATCCCAGGAGAGGTGGACAGTGGTTAGTTCCTTTGTTTCTTTCGCATGGACGTATAATCAAATCGTCGTTGAAAGCGACAAGTTTTATCTATCGATAAACCTGGTTGGATGCTATCTGCAACGGGGAAAACGGGTTTTATATTGGGGTCGGGTATTAAACCCATGCGACAGAGTGGTATTTTTTCATACTGTCGATCTATTAGCTGATGACCTATCTTGCCAGATCGACCGGTTTGAACGCAGATCGGGGCCTCCCTCGCCTGAGTATACGCTGCTTGTAACCTAGTGATTCTGTCACTCCCATAATTAGCCGTGGTACACGTGACTCACTTCATGGTATGTGTAGCTTCACAATGATGTAGGGAAGGCTTTTAGCATCGCATTGACAACTGGCATCTTCTTGGGTGGAGACCCAGTGGTTGGCGACTTCGACAGATACAACACACTCACATTCTTAGTGCCAGCTCAAAGATTTCGCCTTCGTTGCGTACCTAACTCTGGCTCTAATTAATCCAAAAATTGTCACCACTCTGTGTCACTGAACTGGGGCGAGATGGTCCGAGTGGTTAGAGCGCGAATTTACTGACCGGAAGGTCCGTGGTTCTAACTCGGCCTCTGCTTCTTGATTTCCCTTGTCTAGGCTTGGGCAACCTGGCAGTATCCCAGCCATCGTGCAACCTTCGGGTGGCATGACAGTTATGCATCGAAAGGATGCTACTGCTGAACGATCGCTGAACTGACCACGCAATCGCATCCGATGCACGGCCTTCCCATTAACGCTCAACAAAATCATCACAGATGGATGCAGCTTGGTGTCCAGTTTACAGCTAGTTTATAAGTGAAGAACATGAAACGAGACTAATCAGTGTATCGTTCTTTCTACACAACTCCACTGTATTTACCAATTTTTCAGTCTATCCATAACTCCTTCTTCTTCTGATAAGTCACTAACAGTTGACTAGACGCTTTCACCGATATGGTCTCGTCTAGTGGCGTCACTATTGTTCCCAAATGCCAGAGATTCGGAGAGAATGTGTAAGCTGCGAAGCGAATGGCCTCGCCTCTGCTTGAACACAAGACTGTTCCAGTGGAATGGAGAATGTTTCTCGTTGAGTACGCCTCATTGGAGCCGTCTGTAGCGTGTGAAAATCATCCTAGCGAGTATAATCTGTGACGTGCACTTTCCTAGTCTAATTCGGCTTCAGTATGTTAATCTCCAAAATCGCGTACCCCTTTTTAGTCATTTATGCACTTGAATTGCTTCCCATTTGTGTTACAAATTTGCCGTCTTCTGATTTCAGTTACATCTGATGATAGCAATACAGTCAATGGAGAACAAAAAGTTTCTGCATCCTCTTCTGGCTCTGCCAATGGCCTCATGTGGGAAACATTTCCACTTCATGCTATTGTACACCTTCAGATCCAGCCTTTGACTTTACGGTAAGCTACACTTTACCGTTCCGATCACAAAGTCGTCGTTCTTTCGGTTATAATTTTTGACCCATCTATTCTTTCGAATGAACACTTGGTTTAGTGATCATCTTTATGTTTGGTTAAACACTATCATTTTCTCTCTGTCCTCCACCCGATTAGTCTCCTGTGTGTACCTACTTCACGAATGCAGTGTCTCATGAGTTTGCCCCTTCTTGATGTGGTTTTCTCCACCAAACGAGATCAAACTGAACAAGTGTCCACGGATCCAAATGATCCAAAGACGTCGAACCAAGCTGGTGTGGCACGACACACAGAACAAGAAACTACGACATCCCGTCACCAAGGTGAGCAATGCTATGCATGGTTTGTGACACGTTTGCCCATGTGTTGGTCCGTTTAGACGACTAAAGAGGAAAGGGGTTCAGTAAATAGAACTCAAGTTATATAACCACAAAGAAGTGGATAGATGCTGTCTTTTTAGAGGAGTGGGCTGGATGGAGTCCCACACTAACTCATGACTGACAATAAACCTCAAGGGAGTGACTTCCTTTCGAAAGTATCTCAGACGTTTTTTGTCTTCAACTTTTTCAGTCTATACCTCGTCTGGTTCAATCTCTTTAAAGGAATTTAGCGATTAATTTATGCGCATTCTGGTCTTGGATACGGTTGGTAAACACTCCATTCAGGGTTAGGTGTTTTCTTAGGGAGCGTAACGATGGGTTGGTGATTGTGTGTTGGGTGGTGTTGCGTGCGTGTCATCATACATGCTGTTAACCGGGGCTGACCTTTTTTTGTCACCAGCGGTCGAGCGGTTCCATTGTTTGTTCAGTCATCCTGTGTTCTGAATGATCGATGTGCACGTGGCCTTTGAGCTTGGGGGCGAAATGGACCACGTGGTTAGAGCGCGAAATTGCTGACTGGAAGGTCCGTGGTTCGAACCCGGCCTCTGCCTCTCGACTTCCCCTGTCTAGGCCTGGACAACCTGGCAGTATTCCAGCCTTCGTGCTTTCTTCGTGCGGCATAGCAGCTAGGCACCGAAAGGGTGCTTCGGCTGAATGATTTATTTTTTTTATATATGACTTTTGAGCTTGGCCTCCTCTGCCCCTGGTCGATACTGGAGCTACAAGGAGCTCCTTGTTTCGTGGTTTGTGAATCCAATGTTTGGCTCGCATTGAGTATTTCGTCCGTTTGCACGCAGTGGTGCGTGCAAACCCATCTTCATCATCCATGAGAGGAGGCCATGCTCAAAGATCACGTTGTCATCGATCATTCAGGACGCAAGCTAACAGAGCAACCAATTGAACCGCCCCACCGAACAAGTTAGCCCCCTCTAGCGACACGTATATGAACACACGCAACTCTACTCAACGCACAACCACGGACCCATCACTACGCTCTGCTGATGTCAGCTCGCTTGGTGATGAAACGTTTGCAATCAAATTTCCCAGCTCAGCGAACAAACCAACGACCATCTGTGCAACCTGAGCTACCAACATTCTCCTCCATAGCAAAGTTGAAGACTGATTTCTTTCTGAGGAAATTGCCGATTAGTTTTCTTTTATTTATATGGTACTTTTCAAATGCATGGCCAAAAGTATCACTCATATTTTCCAGCTGCCAGTTCGTCTCCTCGTGGTCCTATTCAAGTGGCTATTCAAGCCGACGGAAGCGGAGCCACACTCCGACTGCCAGCCAACCCCTCCCCCGGTGACGTGGTCACTGGAGGAGGTCTTTGTGTAACGGCTATGTTAAAAGGTTAGTTATTTCACCCGTGCAGTTAATCTTCTCCGCGTTATGTCTCCCTCCTCTCGTATGCTCATGCCTCCTGCATTTTACCCACCTTTCAGATTTCCGTATTACAGTATTTCATCCTTATGTGGACTCCAAATCGGCACGATCGGAACCAGTCTGGGGCACTGCTTGGTCTGGAGACTCGTTGACCTTGTTTGTACAAGATATACAGCTCAACATATCTCGCATGGTCGAAACAACCTTGGTTCAGTTGACTACTGCTCCGACACGACCTGACGAGGTCCCTGAGCCTACGTCGAGTGATATCAGTCGCTCATCCCCTCCAAACGCAAATGCCCACCGGTATACCACTGCATCTTCGTTTTCGACGTTCCAGTTCTTTGTATCCGACGCCTGGGGGCTGCATCGTGACTTCAGATTTTCAAGTAAATTCTGAAATTTTGTGTTTTATTTCACGGCAATAATATTATTTACCATTTGTACTCGAATGTGATTTCACTGTGTGTCGTGTTTTACTTTTATCATAGGTATCATCGACATCGGAGCAGCTGTTTTCACTTGCGATACACGTCGCACTTTAGAAATATTAGATATTCCAAAAGCATGGTTTCGAAGCAGTCTGGCGCGTCGTTTGATTTTCGGCAATGAATGTGCGACAGGTGGGTAACCAGTGGATACTTTTTGCCCGTCATTTCTATACCCTATTATTTAGACTGAGCTCAGCATCGGAATCTTTTTCTGTTGCAGGGGAAACATTGAATCAGTCAGCAGACATCAGCGAAACGGTGCAGTGCGCGAGAGATGTTGTATCGCCAGATGCCACTAGGACGGTGAGAGGAGGTGGCCCCAGTTCCAAAGAAACATCAGGTTTGGTAGAATCGGTCCAACCTGAAGAGGAACGTCCTTCCATATGGTCATTTACCGCAGCACCAAGGTATTCACAGGACGACTCCTCTGATCAGCGTGAGTTGGGTTCGTCCTACCCCTGTTTGAGTAGTAGTCTTTTCTCCGTCGTCAGGGATCAGAGCGCGAATTTACTGACCGAAAGGTCCGTGTTTCGAACCCGACCTCTGCCTCTCGACCTCCCTTGTCTAGACTTGGGCAATCCGGCAGTATCCCAGCCCTCGTGCTTCCTACGGGTGGCTTGGCTGCTAGGCACCGGAAGGGGCTAATAGTTTTTTTTCGCCGTCAGCCAGTTTATTTGTCTTTTTGCAACGTTTACGTTTTTCATTTACAGCATGCCTAAGCTCGATTTAGTAGATTGCTATCAATTCCCTAACAAGCCTCTCGGAAATTAGCCGGTTAGATCCATGCCGCACAGGGTTTTAGAGTTTGAGCGTGTACAACCGATTTTTTCTCGTTTTCCATCAATCCTTTTATCTTTCTTTCGCTATGACATCGTATTACCAGTTGAAAATCATTCTGCTGTGGCACCCTTTCGGTGCTTAACTGTCATGCCACCAAAAGAAAGCACGAGGGGTGAGATACTGCGAACTTGCCCAAGCCTAGGCAGGGGAAGTCGAGGCAAAGTTTGGATTGCAACCACTGCCCTTCCGATCAGTAAATTTGCGTTCTAACCACTGAGCCATCTTGTCCCCAGTTGAATACCGCCACGTAGGCTTGGTCCTCTTGTTTCGGCGCAGAATTTGATGGGACGTATTGTTTCCTGTGCAGTTTTTATTCAAGATCCGCCCTTTGAACCAATTTACTCAACCTGACGTATAAGAGTCGGTGTAACTTCACGGTTTCTCTCATTGATATTATTTTATTACTATATTTGTAGTGCCACATTCGTCGATGACCTTCAGTATGAACGATTCTTATTTCGGAGCGGGGGGAGGGGGGTTCACATGTCATGGCGAAACACAATCAACAGCAATTGCTAAGTCAAACCCATTTTCTATTTCCTCTGTCACTCCCGTCTATGTTTGGATAATCTGGCCGTACCTCAGGCTTCGTAAGGATGGCCGTAGCAAAATTTCACATCCTGCTTCACTTACCGCTTGCGAATAAATCCGTTCATCTCACAACGTTCTCAGTTTCACTCATTTGTTGGAGTTTCTCGCTTGTGGATCGTTTCGAAACAGTGCAACATCTAATCTGAAAAATAAGAGCATAAAAATTAAACAACGGTATAAATTCGTCACCTGCTGATTCATTTTCCCATCACGACACCGAATTCCTTGTGTAGAACGGAATTTTGTATACACAGCTGATTGATTATTTTGGAAGTTAAGATTGAAGTCATGAAAATGTCAGATCCATTTCTTGTTCATAACTTACTTTCAGTTTTACGCCAAGCCTCAATAGGTTGTCAATATAACCCTCAATGCGATGGCTGGAAAAGTAATATCGGTTGGATTAAAAATTTGTATATGCTCTTTTCAAACAGCAGCAACACGGTGTCCCCAGAAGTTCGTGATTATCATATTTTCCTTGGATTACCATACCTGTGTGCGTTAGAGCGGTGATATCCAGAAGTACCAATCGCTGTCTCTCTATTTTTGTTTAATTTCATCACTGATGGGGTAATGTGGTGAACTCTGGAGGCTCGGAGCCCTGCGGACCTAAAATATGCGGACGTCATTGTTCCCATTTCCGAAGGAAGCCGGAAGCACACAGACTCATCCAGGAGGCTGTCGAGTCCTCCACTATGTACTGAACGTACTACCTCTGTACATTCATCTAAGTACCCAGGTATTGACACTGGAAGTTGTGGAACATATCACGGGGTGTTGTCTTAATTCTGAAGTGACATGAAGTCTTAAAGCCCACAATCGTGTTAATCAGCCTGCGCTACTTGTGGTTTCGAAAAAGTGCACCATTGGGTTCTAGGGTAGGCGTGTATCAGATTACAATGTGAGCTGTATTGCTGTATGACTTTTGGTGAATGATTCGAACTCACTCCGGACCTGTGACCACTGCTATCTCCAAACTGTAGCTGAAATCGGCTGGGATCAGGGAGATCCTCAAGTAACGGGTATTTGATGAAGCAGAAGAAATTCAATCGCAATGTGAGCTGTATTGCTGTATGACTTTTGGTGAATGATTCGAACTCACTCCGGACCTGTGACCACTGCTATCTCCAAACTGTAGCTGAAATCGGCTGGGATCAGGGAGATCCTCAAGTAACGGGTATTTGATGAAGCAGAAGATAATTCAATCGTCTTCCTAGATGACTTGGTCCTCTGATGGGTTTGAAATACTGAAAGATATGACGGTCAGGTGATGTCACAGGCGTTCCTGTCGTCATTCTCTGTATATTTCGTCTGACTGGGTGTTGGAGTTCTGGATACATCGAATATTCGTGGTAGGCCTAGCCCTATATCTCCCTGTTTGTCCCATTCCTCTTTTTTGTTATAAGATATTCAAATGAATTGCAATTGTTGTGCGGCACTAAAACAGACTGGTTCTTTGGAGTTGCTGTCATCGATGATGAACGATACAGTTTGTAGCTTAATACCGCATCGTTTGGCTTGCTCTGAGGGTAGACTTTTCACCCGTTATAATACAAATCATAGACGGAGAAATCAGAACACGTTATAAGGTGATTTCCTTCTGAGAACCTTGCATTCGTTCTGACCCCGACCAGATAGGACTCAGTGACCAACCTCATCTACTAGTTTGATTGCGTCCGCCGTTTCCGATGCTTTGGCAGAACTTTCGGACACCGAAGAGAACTCTTGTCCAGATGACTTCCGAAAGCTGAAACTCTGTTCGAAATAATTAACTGCCAAACATTTCCGAATAAATTTACATAAACTCAATGTATTCCTGTCGGGAATGTTTTGCTTGACCTACTCGTTGTCCCTACAATTCCATTCAAGTTTACCTCGTCTGATTGCGTGCTGTTTATCAACGTTGCTCAGGCCCCGTCTTCTTTTCCACCTAGCCGTTTCACCTGCCGGAGAAAGAAGAACACAACGCCCAGATGATCATGCCAAGTGTAAACGCAGATCTACGTTGCTGAAAACTGCTTGGGCTCCGGGGACCTTGGATTCAGTACCGCTTCACTTCATGCCAGGAATGGTCAAAGCTTCATCCACTGCTCGCAGGAAGACCGGTGACACTTCTGTGGGGCCAACGGAGTTTGTTTCCGCCGCTGCCACCCTGGCCACAGACCGAGCCCCTGGCGCCAGTCCTGTAGGAAGTCTTAAGGTGGCTTCTTGGCATGCATTGCCCATGTTTTGCGTCAACTTGAAGCGCTTGGATTTGAGCCTTTTCATCGGTAGTGCAATGGGGCAAACCAGGTACTTTGGTCTGTCAGACTCATAAGTAACTGTCTTTCTGTTTGATCGCTAACTATCGCTATATGGCCTCGGGACTACTCCCTGCTGTCCGCCCTTTTCTTTCGTTTTTAATGGCTGCCCAACTCCCAAGTGTAGTTTGCCTACAAAACGTTTGTTTCTTTATTGTTCTCTCCAGACTCGTTATGGAGAAAATGTTTTGTGACGGGCGTTTCTCGATCCATTCAACGGGTCGCAAGAATGCCATGCTCTCTGGAGGTTTGAGCACATGCCAGTTCACCAGTGAGGGCGGTGGAGTTGGTGGGGAATTGTGCCTGCTGAATGCCGAAGCTCGGAGTCAGTATCTTCTTCTTTTTGTCACCTGGTGGAATCTCTTGTTTTTTTATCCTTGCCTACCTATCTGAAGGATTATCTCCATCGATATGATAAAATATCGTTGAACTGGGCAACCGTATTGAAATTGACCAGGAAGGTCTAGCATGTTTTTTCCTGACTAATTGTCTTTCTGGTTAATGTCATCAGTGCTCTAATGTACTGCTGTTTAACAAGGAATATTAAATGTCTGTGGGAAATGGATCCTCGGAATAAAAAATTAAAAAAATCGTTCAGCTGTAGTACCCTTTTGGTACCTAGCTGCCATGCCACATGAAGGAGGCATGAGGGCTGGGATACTGCCAGGTTGCCCAAGCCTAGACAGTGGGAGTCGAGAGGCAGAGGTCGGGTTCGAACCACAAACATTCCGGTCAGTAGATATAGATGTCTGTGGTCCAGGCTCACTTCTCGTTTTTCGATTGGCTCAGTTTTTCGTGTGGAAGCAATATATCCGAATAGGACAACAGTCGAACTATCTAACTCCTTTAGAATGGACATTTTGGCAATGAAGCCTTTTTCACCACATATATATATATATATATATATATATATATATATGGGATAAAATGTATTGGGCGA